CATTTCCACTTTGATTTTCAGAAACATCACAGGACTTAACGAGCTGGCAGAGGACACTAAAGGCAAAGTTAATTTCAAAGTGTCTTGTATCAAAAACGTTCCTGCTTTGCTTGTGCCGAGTTGTTTTGATGCATTCAGATTCGGTTTCCGGGTTTCGAGCAAGCCCCGTAGAAGGCATGGACCTGTGTTCCTAGGGGAGATGGAAGTTGCTCTCTGGTCTTTGTGCTCACTGGAGAGAGGATGGGAGGATGGGACAGGGACCAGGAGGGGGTGTTGTGCTGTGATTGCGCCGGTTCCTCACTCCTAGCTGGAGACCTGCACCAACACTGGTCTTCTTGGAGTTTAGGTGTCTCATCTATAAATGGAGAATCATAATATCATCCTGTGCATTGGAATACTCTGAAGATCATGAGATAAGACACAGAGAGCTCTTAAAACCACGTGCACATGAGAGAATACCCAGTAAAGCTGATTGTTGCACCATTCCCAAAATAGAGGCATGAGTATATTAAAATTTGATTTGAGGAGATGTATCCTCTTCTGGCCTTGCAACCTGTGGAGGTGCCCTGGGAAGCCTGCAGTCTGTCTATGTCCTTGACCTGTGAGCTGGGGCCCTGGAGGTCATGGTACCTATCTGCACCTGTACAGACCCAGGGTCCTGTCTGCAAAAGGGCTGTGTCCTTCTCTTCAGCACGTTCAAATTTGTCTCTTAAATGAAGACCTTTCTAGTGAAAAGGCTTGGATTAGATTTTAATCCAATGTCCAGAGGGGCCCACATCAGTGACAGTTGTTGGGACATGAGAAGAACTATCCATGTTAAGGGATATTCTTCATCGTCCTGTGCAAGAGAACTAGGCTGGTAGCAGATTCCTCCGCGTCCACACTTGGGACGAGGAATCTAGGGTGGGTATGAGGCTACCGCATGCCACTTCCTTCTGGTTGTCCTCCATGTAGTGAAATATTGCAGCAAGTCAGGGGATGGGGGTAGACTTGGCCTTAACACTCGGTCACTTGTAGTGACCACACCAGTGTGAGAAGCTGAACTACAGTGGGCTCCACATACAGCTGCTTTTGAGTGCACACATCTGACCACCCCGGGGCTGTTCCCAGGTGAATGCATGCTGTCCTCCATGCGAACCCACCAAAGTCCTTGGTGATGCTGCCTTCTAGGATGATACCCAGACCCCGCTGCGTTGCAGGGCTTTTTATCATTGTCGTTGTTCTGTTTTGTCTTGCTGCACTGGGATTGAATCCCGGGGCATTCTACCACTGAGCTACAGCCCCATCCCTTTTTGTTTGATTCTAAGACAGAGTCTCACTAAGTGGCCTGCTGGCCTCAACCTTTCAGTCTTCTTGCCTCAGCCTCCTGGGTGGCTGGGATCACGGGGGGGGGGGGGGGGGGGGGGGGGCACCACTTGCCACCATGTTGCAGGTTATTGGATTCACCTATGGGAGAGGAATGGAGGGAACTGGGGAGTTCTGTCCTGGAGAAGTGATGTCTGAGCTGTCCTGGTTTACCCCGTGTCCCTCATCTGGTGCCACCTTCCTCCTGACTTACACTCAAGGACGACTTCAATGCAGAAACATTCTTCTCCCTTATTTGCTGTGCCTTAGCAGTTTGAACCATCATGTCCTGATAGTGCATGAACTTTATGCACTCCTTCTAGATCCAATACATCACAGGGCATGGCTACCCACACAGACCATCATAAGCCTCTGCTCGGTGGTTCACAATTCCAGTTGTGTTTTAGAAACTCCAAATAAGAAAGTCAGAAAGGCAGAGAAAGAGAGGGCAAAGGGAGGGCACAAGGAGGAAAGTGACACCTGGCTGGACCCAGGAACAACCAGATCTCTGCAGGGCTGGTGGCTGGTCAGTCCAGACAGTCCTAATGCAGGGGCCAGGTGGACAGTCATGGTGCTGAGCAGGCTCATTCTAAACTTCCACTCTGCCTACCGTATTCATCTGTAGGTAGCTTTCTGATGAAAACCAGTAACTGGACTCCATGGTGAGCATGGATTCAAAGATGAGCATGACCACGCCTCTCAGGACACACACACACACACACACACACACACTCATACACACACAGACTGTAGGATCTCGGTCCTTCCCCTCAGAGTTCAGCATGACAAAGTGATAATTACTGCCGAATATGCAAGGCTTCTGGAAGCTCTCCAGTGCTGTACGTTTACAACAGGGTATTCAAACTTCCACTGATATGCCAGATACATACGATGAGTTATTCCAAGCCGGATCAGCACGTGCAGAACGTGTAAAGGAAACTGTCAGGCGCTCACTTCACAGCCCCAGTGCAGCAGACCCTCCAGGAAGCCCACCCAGCCTGCCGGGCCTTCACGAGAAGACACACACTTGCAAAGTTCTGCCTGAAGTTCAGGTGCACAGGCTTTTTGAAGTCTGTGCTGTCCCAGGTTAATTTCCAGGTTAGAGCGCTTCCTCACCACATCAGAGAGAGGACACTCAGCTCAAAGGAGACCTGGCTGCTGGTGTATCTGGGCCAGAAGAGAGATCTAAGGGAGAAGGGGATCTCATGGCAGGGACCCTCCACATCAGACTCCAGGAGGAGGAGCATTGGGTGAAGTGAACAGCGCTGGCAGGCTCACAGGTGGCAGTGGAGTCGTAGGTGGGTCTTTGGACAAAGCTTCAACACATGGAGAGGTGAATGGGTAGGTATGACACAGTGAGCTGCAGAGATAAGGAGAGGGTGTGGGGCCAAGAGAAGCCCTGTGTGCCCACAGGGCAAGTCTGTTCCATGGGGTTTGAGATAAGGGTACCCAGAAGGGAACAGGAATGAGCACCGCTGGAGGTGTCAGGTCAGGCCGTGGGGGTCACACAGGTCAGGTTGCAGGGTCACAGGCCAGGAGGCTGCTGGAAGGGCCCCAGCCCTCAGCATAACTTTTGCTCATTGGGCCCCACAAATGCAACTTTCCTGTGAACAACATGGCAAGGTGGGCCCAGCACAGCCCTAAAAGAGATGATCCCATTTCATCCACGGGAAAGCCATACCACAACTCTTATAAATATAAAGACACAGGAGTGTTCTCCAGGACCTGGTTCCCACCTTTCTTCTATTTGTGAATAGTGAAGTCCACTTAGGGCTCCAAAAAGACAACCATGAATGGCTTATGAAAAGCAAGGGGTGTGTGAGTGTGTGCACGTGCATGGCAAGGAATATCATTCAGCTAGTACAAAGGTACCAGCCCTTGGCCTCATGTGGATGATTCTGGCGGACATCATGCTAGTGAAACAAGCCTGACAGAGAAAGAAAACCGTGCACGCGCTCATGTCCACGTGGAATCTTAAAGAAACAAGAGCAACCAAAAGAAGTAGACAGAGAATGGGACAGGGAGCGCCAGGGCCAGCTGTGTCGGGAGCAGAGGAGTTAGAGCAGCAGCGTGTGGGATGAGCCATCTAGGGTCTGATGCCCAGCGAGGCCACAGTGCTGAGGTGAGCTGTGCACGTGTCTCCTGTGGGACGAGCCCATGAGGGATCCCCTGACTACACCAGCGACCGTGAGCCCATGTGAGGGGAGGGAGGGTGATTCACTTCACCAAAACCACTTTCCTAAAACCACATTATCCAGAGCACGTTAGCCACTGTGAACAGGCATAATGACATTCATTTTAAAGAAGAAAAGGAAAATGAGTTTTTCTATGTGCACATTTATCCATGAAAGAAATAAAAAGGAAGGGGGAGGGAAGGGCTCCTGGCCAGGGGTGCGTGGTCTCCAGGCCCACCCCAGCTTCTGCTTCCCAGATCAAACCTCCTTCCCCTGGGAGCCGAGGACTGAGAGCCTGCAGGACTCCCCAGCAGGAGCCATCGTCCCTGCCGTTGCTCCCATCCAGGACAGCTCCTCCTGTCCCTGTGGGAGATGCCGCTGGAGCATCCCTGCAGTGGAGTCTTAGGTCTTCTGATGCCATTTCTCCACCCTCCTCTTCCTCCTGCTCATCTTTCTCTCTCTCCCTCCCTCTTTCTCCCTTCATTACTGAGCCCCCCATACACAGCACTCCACCCCTGCCCTTATGCCAAGGAGGAAGGCTGCTAGAGAAGACCCCCGTATCCCTGAGCATCCATGCAGTTGGGTGGAGAGATAAGAGGTTTCAATGGCTCTGTCACCTGCAGGGAGGGTGCCGTTGAGACTCCTGAGTGACCCTTTTGCAAACAGTGAACTTGAGTCTTCAGGTTGAATCTGATGGATGGAGCATGTTTTGGCCCCCGAGGCTTCGCACCTCTCTCTGTGGACTCTCCCCCACAGTCTTCATTTCCTCTTCTGGGAGGGGCTAGCACGATACTACTTGTTTTTTTAACCTGACACATAGAATAGCAGACATTATATAAGAAGCAGACTATAAAAAGGTACAAGAGGTAGCCAACTAATTAAGCTAACATTAAGAGTTGCTGATCTAATCCTAGTAATCTTTTATTCCTTTCTAGATGCATGCCTATAGGAATCCAAGCGGCCTAAAAGCTAATGTTTGTCACAATAACTCCTGTGTCCAGGTAGCATCTGGTCACGTTGCCATGCCCATCAGCATGGACCCCTTGGTCTGAGCTCTTCCCATGCCTTGCCTCTGTTCCTCTGCAATTCTCTCACCAGCTAGAAAACAAAGCCACAGCACCCTCAGATGCCCACAGAGTTGTCCACCCACCTCTAACTGGCCATCCTTTGCAAGATAGAACTGAGCAGGAGAGGGAGTCCTCCCCTATGGAGACGGGTCAGAAAGCACTTAGGAAGTGGAATTTCTGTTTGCCGTGATGACCCCCCTCACCTGCCCTGGGGATGATGCACAGCTCACAGAATCAGGGAGCTGGGGCCCTCGAGTGATGCTGTGTGAGCCCAGCAAACACTGCAAAGCCCACCGTCAATGGTATGTCCTTCCTAATGCCCTGTGTGGGTGACTGATGCGGGAGTTCCCATGGCTGAACACCAGCAGCCGGTGCCCTGCTTAGACCTTCACAGTTACTCTCTCCTCCTCTCCAGTGTGGACGGCACCTCCTATGAAATCATGCAGATCGACGTGGAAGTCGAGGAGCCCAGTGACCCGCCCACCACACAGCTGGTCACGTGGCAGGTGGAGTACCCAGGAGAGATCACTTCGGACCTAGGAGTGTCCAAGATCTACGTGAGCCAGAAGGACTTGATTGGAGTTATCCCACTGGCCATGGTAAGAGTGCCTGCCTCAGGCTGTTGGTACCAAACTCGGGGACGGGGAAGGTGCCACGCTGTGACCCAGGTTTGGTGGGGAATGTCAGTGAGCGAGAACCAGGCTAGGGGGAGAAGAGGCTGTGAAGTTGACCGCATCCACCAACTCTAGAAATGTGCATTCTTAACTCCAGGTATTAAAATCGGGTCTGTCTTTGTATGAAAATGATTGCTGATTTGATATCTGTGTGGCATACCATGTAGATCCTATGCGGAGTCTGTCCACGTGCAGCTCTGCAGGGCCAAGGCGTGGAGTGTCGGGTGGCCATGCCTGGTTGTGAGCAAGGCTGAGGCTGCTGTCCCTGAGCATGGCACATGGCTTAGGTTCTGTTGTGGGAAACCAGAGGAGCACAGGTTGTGCCAACAGGTGAACTGATTCTGCAGCAGGCCTCCTTTGTTACTGAACAGCTCCCAGCAATGAGGTGGGGCTCTTTCCGGAAGGGGCCATCAGAGTGCGGGGCAGCCTGCGGGTGCGGCTGGTTCTTGAACCGCATTGATTAACTGGGTTCCCACACTTTGGTCTGGTGAGACTCCAGCCGTGCTGGCCGGGCAGCTGCCCATGGCTTGAGAGTGAAGAGCCGGCTTGTCATGGAAGAGTGGTGGTGGTCACCCTCAGTACCTTACTTTGACTTTGTTACTCTGATGTTCATTGAGGGACATTTGTAAGAAATCAGATGCAAATCCCAGAATCACTAGAGAAAGAGGAGCACTGGCTGGCTCCCCTGGGCCAGGTGAGGACAGAGGTGGTGCTGGGTTGTCTAAAGCATGCTCGGGAGACACGTGGCCTAATGGTGTCTTTAGGAAGCACTCTGGCTGCATGTGGAGATGAATTCAGGGCCAAAGGACCTCTGAGAGAGCTGAACAATGCGACTCTGGCAGCTCTGAAGGAGACCTCCTAGCGCAGTCTCCGGCCAGTGAGTCTGTGTGGTTCTAGCCCCTGTTTGGGATTATCCCAGGTTTATATGATGGCTTCAGAGGCTTAGGGAACAGCATCCTATGGCTGAGTGACTCCAGAGATATTGTCCTTGTCTCCATGATCCCAAATTAATGACAAACATGTCCACACTGCAGCAGCAAGAAGAGGCTGAAGGAGACAAGGGCGGACACAATCTCTTGCTCAGTGCACCACCTCTGCTCCCATCCTATTGGCCACACCCCAGTGTGTGGATAGCAGGACTTTCCCAAGCACTGGAAATCGGTGTGGAAGAAATTTGGGAATAAAGGATAACTCCAAAAAAAAAAAAAATTCCCCTGATAGCTCCCTGACACGACCACACAAACTTACAATGCTAGAGACTTTTCTATCATAAAATACACTGTGGCTTATATTTGGAGTATAGAATCCTTTACATACATCTCTGATTGATTCCTTGAGGTAAACTTTTAGAAATATGAATCAAACGATATGCAATTTTTAGTGGTTTTTTCAATGGTTGCCAAATTGCCTTCTGGAAAGTTTAACTAATTTACAGTTCCACCTGCTGTGTATAATGACACCCACATCCCTGCAACTTCACCAACACAGAATATTAAAATTTAAAACATAGAGAATTTATTAAGCAAAAATTATATCTCAGTGTTGCCTTAATTTGTCCTCCTTGGGTTACATTTTTTTTTATTTCCTTATTAAACATTTGCTCTTTGCCTGTTTTATTTTCTTAGTGGGAATGCAACTCCTTATTATTACTTTGCTATAAATCTTCTTTTAAAGTGGAAAAAACCCCACATGATATTGAATTTACCATCTTGAACTTTCGTTTTTGAAATTTTTTTAAACTTGTTCTTTTTAGTTACACACGATGGTAGAGTGTGTTTTGACATACCATACATACATGGCGTATAATTTCCGCTGCTTGTGGTAATACATGATGTGGAGCGACACTGCTCATGTATTCATATATGAGCATAGGAAAGTGATGTCCAGTTGACTTTACTGTCTTTCCCATTCCCATTCACCCTCCCTTCCCCCAAGCCCCTTTCCCAAACAGGTGAACCTCACTCCTCCCTCCCTCCTGCCTATATTGCATCATATGAGAGAACATATTCGGCCTTTGGTTTTTTTGGAATTGCTTATTTCACTTAGCATGATACTCTCCAGTTTCATTCATTCACCTGCAAATGCCATAATTTCACTCTTCTTCATGGCTGAGTAATATCCTATTGTGTATATGTATCACATTTTTTAAATTCATTCATCTATTGAAGGGCACCTAGATTGGTTCCACAACTTTGCTCTTGTGAATTGAGCTGGTATAAACATTGATGTGGCCATGTCACTATCATAAGCTAATTTTAAGTCCTCTGGGTATAATGCTGAGGAGTGGGATAACTGGGTCAAATGGTGGTTCCATTCTAAGTTTTCTGAGAAATTGCCATACTGCTCTCCAGAGTGGGTTCACCAATTTGTAGTCCCACCAGAAATATGTGAGTGTACCTTTTTCCTCACATTCTCTCCAACATTTATTGCTACTTATATTTTTGATAATTGCCATTCTGATTGGAGTGAGATGAAATCTCAGTGTAGTTTTAATTTGCATTTCTCTAATTGTGATTTTGAACATTTTTTCATATATTTGTTGACCATTCATATTTCTTCTGTGAAGTGTCTGTTCAGTTCCTTTGCCCATTTATTGATTGGGTTATTTGTGTGTGTGTGTGTGTGTTAAGTTTTTTGATATATCTTGGAGATTAATGCTGTATCTGAGGAGCAAGTAGCAAAGATTTTCTCCCTTTCTGTAGGCTCTCTCTTCCTGTTTTTGATTATTTCCTCTGCTGTGAAGAAGCTTTTTAGTTTAACAAAAATCCCACCTATTGATTCTTAACTTTACTTCTTGTGCTTTAGGAGTCTTATTGCAGAATTTGGTTCCTAAATCAACATGATGGATAATTGGGCCTGCTTTTTCTTCTAGTAAATGCAGGGTCTTTGATTTAATTCCTAGTTCCTTGATCCACTGTAAGTTGAGTTTTGTGCATAGTGAGAGACGGGGGTTTAATTTCATTGTGTTGCATATGGATTTCCAGTTTTCCCGGCTCCATTGTTGAAGAGTCTACCTTTTCTCTAGTGCATGTTGATGGCACCTTTGTCTAGTATGAGACAACTGTATGTATGTGGGTTTGTCTCTGTCTTCTATTCTGTGCCATTGATCTTCACATCTGTTCTGGTGCCGACACCATGCCGTTTCTGTTACTATAGCTTGGTAGTATAGTTTAAGGTCTGGTATTTTGATGTCTCCTGCTTCACTTTTCTTGATGAGGATTCTATCTTGGCCTCTCTACACGTAGTTTGTTGGCTTTAGATGTGATCTCGTTGCTGCTCCCTGGGTCTCTAGGACTTCTCCATCTTGCAGAACTGAAACACTTCCCCCTCCTCCTCCGACATGGGAAACACCTTTCTGTATCTGTGGTGCCAGCTGTCTGATTGACATAGAACCCACTGCCTTTGCAGTTTACTGTTTACCTGCCAACTTCTCAGGTTCATTTTTTTTTTTTTATGTGCAGAAAGTTTTGCTCGTCTGATTGTTTGTGTGGTGTGTGTGTGTGTGTGTGTGTTCAAATCCACTGATATTTTCCATACAGAAATCCCCCATCTCCCTCTAATTACTTCCAAGAGGAAAGATGGACCTGTTTTATTTGTTTATAAAATCTCCAACTATTAAAATATCTGAACACGGCTCACATACACACAGGCAAGCCGAACTGCAGCCTTTAGAAGTGAAGCTAAAGGCAGACGCATTGGAGAGTTCTGCAGGGCAGAGGACAGGAGGCCAACCTGGGGCAAAGCCTGAGGCCTCCCCTTCTTGGTGGACATGTGATTTCACCTCTGGGAAGCTTGGAGCTGGGACGTAGCTACCCTGGACGTAGTGTCCAGGGCTGTGAAGGCTTTTGCATTCTCTTACCCAGTCATTAATTTTTGTGAACTTCCTTACATTTTTTACAATTTGGGAAATCCACCTGGACTATGCTCTAGGTAAAATGTGGTTTTGACCTCAGTGAACACTGTCCACCGCACGTCCCTGCCTCACCCTGGGCCCAGGTTGTCCTTCTCTGAAGAGCAGGAGTCCTCCTTGGAGCCACAGTCACTCTGAAGAGAGAGGTCCTGGGCTCCGTGGCGGCTCCTGGCTTGTGGCTACCACGCAGGTTTGGAGCTTGGCCAGGCTCCCAGGCAGCCGTGCTAAGACACATCAGCGGGTCCCATGGCACCGGCAAGTCCTTTAAAACTTGGTCATAAGGCCCTTCATTTCCAAATCCAGCAAACGTGTTTTCACTCTTTTCGGGAAGAGTCTTTGGGGGCTGCTAACATGGATGTTGCTGTCAGTTCAGGAAAAGGAGGTGGCGGATGCGTGGGAGGTTAGGACCTGGACCTTCCACGGCGGGTCCCCACGGGTCCTCGTTGTGGCCCCATGGGTGCTGGTTGTCTCGTGCCTCAGCTGTGACGACCACTCTTCGGCTGCTGCCCTTGGGCTGGGACTTCAGCTACAAGTCAGTCTGGAGGTGAGGTCAGGACAGACTCGCTTCTGAGTTGCCCTTGATAGTCAGCAGAGGGGAGCTGTGACCCTGAAGTGACTTGACAGGATTTACAATGACAGAAGGGGACGGGTGTGTTTGCCAGCCCAGCCCTGCCCATTCCCAGGGAGGCCACAGGGTCCTAGACAAACACCAAGCCAAGGACGGGCCACAGGTTCCTCCTAGTGACAGGCACCTCCACCGTGCCACCAGCAGACCCCGGCCCCTGCTTCCTGGCCTACCTCCCAGGCCACCTGCTCCCAGCGCCCTTCCTTGGTCTTCATGGCCAGGTGGGACCTGGGGTGGCCCTGCTGCTTCCCTGCACACAGGGAGGATGACAGGCTCCTCTGCTGGTTGAGACCCTGCCACTGGGAGCCACGGTGCCTGGCAGCCAACCCTGTGTGCCAGGGAAGCCACTTTGATGTATCTCGGTCCTTCATCGTTTCGTTTTATCCTTTG